ACTTAACTTTTTCTTAAGACTTCATTTCCTGTTTTTGTCCATACCTCGATTTATTTACGTTACCTGCCTTATTTTATGATATTTTCAATAGTACCTATTTGTATTGTTGTATTATCTATGGTTAAAGTAGTTATAGTAAACTAGGTATACAGTTAAAAACACATTATCAAGGTTTTAAATGGGATTAGGTAACATGTAAATAATTAAGAATATGCAAAGCACATAATACTATAATTTCCACAACATTCTATTTTGTCTAAAATGTAATTCAAATTTAAGTTCTAATAGTAGTTACTAGTTACATTATATTTTGTTTTGGTAGTTACCAATATGAATTAATTCAATGTGGATGGAATTAATAAATAATACAACGTGGAGTTTTTATTCTTCTCAGTTATAGTATTTATGGATAAATTTTGACCAGTCGGCATAGAAATTAAAAAGTCAAAACCTTAACTTCTAATAAGATAAATTGTGTGAGCAAAAAATCTTTATAGAAAAATATAAAAGGACATCGACGAAATCGGCCTCAGCATGCCCAAAAGAATGTCCTTCACTATTATTTTTTTAATTATTAGCAATTAATCATAGTAAACGGACAATCTGTTTAAAAAAATAAAAAATAAAAGTTCCGTTACTAGATACTACAGTGTTTATCCTAACTTGTCCTATTTGGTAAACTTTTTAATTGAAAATACAGCATTAAAAATCAACTGATAACTGGTTTCAGTCTATAATAACGATTTATTTTAATAGTTTATTGGCTTCGCTATTATTTTATTTTTAAATGGGTGATTTTGTTAAAAAGTTAGTACTTATAAGTAGTATTTATATTATATCTATAAATAATTATTTCTGAAATTATGTAAAGATAGTTTATGCTCCCATCCCATATAATATCTGTTAATTTTTACAAAAATCATAATGATAACCAGGTATATACCTAATTACCGATCGTAAAATATAGAAACAGGTAAATGGAAAGACTTTGAACATTTCATTTGAAAAGGAATCTATTATTACAACAGGTTACAAATCAATATGAATATAGGCATTTATTATTTTTATTATTAATTGCATTTTATGTTCATTCAATGCATATTATTAAAGTGCTTACATAGGCACATTAACACTAAATCTATTCAGAATATGTAAAGTGTACATCTTTTACGATTAAGTATAATAATTATAACCTCAAAATCTAATACATTCTGTAGTAGGCCACGGTTCCTTAAGTTATTCATATCTCAACAAATGCCTAATTAGAGTTTATGCATCGAAAATACCGGTAAATAAAGGTTAATACCGGTTTTTAGTAAAGATTTCGTTCGGAGCGCATCTGAAATGAAAGCGGTACCTAAAACCTTAATAAACCGGTTTAATCCAGAGCGACACGTGCACGCGTCGGCATCGCTTAAAGTATGTTTTGTTTGAACTAATCAAGTCACAACTTGTTAATGCTCAGAGATTGGTCACATTTTTTGACACGTTTGCTAGCGTCTAGTGAGTCAAGCTATTTATTTTGTAGTTGTGTTCTGACACACTACTTCACTCACTCGCTCTGTAGTTGGAAAGAAACTGACATAAAATCATTATTTTAAATTGAAACGGTAAAGGCGATGCCGTCAGTAAGAACGAAATGAAACCCTTTAAAAACCGCTAAATTGATTCAAAACCTATTTGATTTCGCTTTTTAGGAAAACCGTTTTTTTAAGGTTAAGGTAGAGCCAAACCTAAATAAAACGCTCCTAATGTACTTGATACTGATTTAGGTTTGAAAATTAACCGGTAAACAAGCCCTGTTATGAATGATTCCGAACACAACTTGCATTTTCTCATTGCTGTGCGTTCTAGGGCATTCAATGTATGGGGAACGAGCAATGTCCTTTAAACCATGTTTTTTTTTATTAGGGATAACAAACAGTTGTACAATATATGTTAAGTGAAGGCTTCCATTTATGTTATACTTATTGTACAGCCAACAACATTATTCACAGATTAATTAATCTATACTAAAATAAAAATATGTTGTACACTACACAAATAAGTATCTAGAAGAAATAAAAAGTTTGTCGAGGAGTACCAAGGTAATACACTTAGTATGATATAAGATTATACAATTTGATTTTAAAAGAAGTGTCTGAAAGCAAGAAACCACGGTTATATGTCAAAATCATGGGAACTCAAACTATCATTAAAGGTGTTTATAATTATGTTCAGCGGGGCACGCAGACCAGCGTTAGTATTGACGTCACCGGGGCAGAGTAGTTTATGTGAGTAGGCCTTACGGATACGGTGTGAACTGCTGGGTTTTCTAAATGTAATAGTGTCAGCCAAATCATTACAGTTGTAATTATTATGTAATATATTAAACAAGCAGGATATATCAAGAAGTGTTCTGCGCAACTCCAGTTTACCGAAAACTTCTGCAGAAGATAGTCATACGGTTGTTTAGCTCGCGAACATTTATAATTTATACGCTTGAGATACTTGCGTTGCACTGATTCTAGAATGTTTTTATACTTGTTATAAAATGGGTTCCAAACAACGATAGCGTATTCAAGCTGTGACCTAACCAAGGCTTTTTTAAGGTATATAGGTAGGTATCCTGTTTCTTAAACTGTTGACAAGAACGCATTATGTTGGCATACATTTGATATACTTTGGAAAAGAAGTGATTTATGTGGTTATGCAAATGTAACTCTGAATCCAAGAGTATACCTAGATCACGAATAGTATTAACTTTCACCAAATTTTTATCATTTCGTGAATAGTTAAAATTAATAACAGTTTTCTTCTTTGTTGTAGTTATAAATTTACATTTTTATACACTCAAATACAGCTTATTTTTAACACAGTAATTACTGAATCGATCAAGATCCATTTGGAGAAGAAGACAGTCATTGAGAGTTCTGATCTGCTTGAAGATTAGGTCATCAGCATATAATAGGAAGTTACTGTGTATAAATTATTTGCCATCATCGTTCACAAATACGAAAAACAGCAAAGGTCCTAAAATGGAGCCCTGTGATAATGTGTTGTTCTGTACACCGAGATGGTATATTATACACATACATAATTACTATAGATAAAATAACAATAAATACTATTATAAATATCATAAAAATGAGGAAGCTGACGTAAATGAATCGAGGTATACACAGAAACAGGCAATGAAGTCCTAAAGAAAGAGTGTAGTTTCAAATTTTTTCATCAAAAAGGTTAATTTAATCTTAGGTTTCAACAAAACAAAAACTAGCCAATAAATATTATTTTATATTTGTTTCGGAGGTCGAATGTCACCTTTTTCCTCCCCCAAGAAAGAAACGACCTACATTCCCACTTTCGTGACTGATACGATTTAGTTATAATTAGGTCGCCGTTTGACATTGAACTTGCTTGTCACGTTTAGAAATAACCTCTTCGATACTACTTCTACATAATATTGTTATTATGTAACATCGGCATCGTTCCTTCTTATTGTGTTAGCTTGATAAGATTACCGTCCACTCGGGGCTGCTTGTACCCTTATCGATGCCGATTATCATAGACAAATTCTAAGTACTTTAATGTCTAAAATCATTCAAGTATACTTATGGCACAGTAGCGAAGAATTAAAAGAATTTTAATTGTAATATTCGACTATCAGATAAAGCTATCCTTGAAATTTGAACAATGATGAGACAGTGAGTAACTTGCGATATCATTTCAAATAGATAAATTCGAATTACATTTTAGACAAAATAGAATGTTGTGGAAATTATAGTATTATGTGCTTTGCATATTCTTAATTATTTACATGTTACCTAATCCCATTTAAAACCTTGATAATGTGTTTTTAACTGTATACCTAGTTTACTATAACTACTTTAACCATAGATAATACAACAATACAAATAGGTACTATTGAAAATATCATAAAATAAGGCAGGTAACGTAAATAAATCGAGGTATGGACAAAAACAGGAAATGAAGTCTTAAGAAAAAGTTAAGTTTCAACCTTTTTCAACAAAAAGATTTTGAGTTAATCTGAGGTATCAACAAAACATAAACATCGTCGTTAGATGGCGCTGCCTGTCCTGTAAATGGCGCTATCGTTTATCATCGTACGCAGTTTAAGTAGTTTGCCATCTTGATTAAAGTTAAGACCTTACTTCATAGGATCATTTCTATAGTAAGCTCTTCGCTAGACCTTCACTCCATGTGAGGTTCCACCAACCGCGTTGATGAGGTGTGGCGCGGTGCCCTGAGCGTGAGGCAGGCGGAGATCTCTGATCTTCAGCCTTCGATGATCGTTCACTCTTTCTTCGAAAGAGCGTGGGGTACTGTCGCTGTCTGAGCGGTTTTTTATTCCATTATTGAAGAAAAATCATTTATCAATGAGGTCAATGGGGTTAATTATTCATACTCCAGAGGGTTACTAAAGCCACGGAGTGGCCGTAGATAGACAGCTTTTATTTATAAGTATATCGAAAAAGGTATATTGCAGAAGATTTCAAATTATTTGTAACTATAATCTACTCATGTCGAAATATTATGAATTTAAAGATGGTCTTTTATGAAGACGTACTTTATAAACGCACATACATCAAAATAAAACTAATTAACATAACTTTTTAACCATCACAGTACACTTATTTTTTATTTAATCTATAAGGCTGAATGTGAAAATATAGAAAAAAGAGGCGCACGCACTATAGTTGAAACTTAATTTCCCGCGCTTTTCATACAATTTCTGCAGATCGTGTTTTGTTTTCGGAATTTTAGAAAAGTTTTGCAAAATACTTTACCTAGCTACTTTGTTTAATTTCCTATGAGTGCAGATACAGTAGTGTATGGAACTGCATATGACAGTCGCATTATTGAGCACTATTTGAGTTTATTTTACTACTAAGTTATCAAAGCTTGTTTTTAAAAAGTTTATTTTCCATATTTTTGTTATAAATGAATTAATTGTTTTTTTAGATAATATTCTATTTATAAGCACCATAACAACAATAAATTAAACACATTTACATACCATAACAGATATTTATTTTATTTAGTTTACAACAGGGTTTGTGAAGATATATTAGTAATAATAATAAAAATTCATGATTTGACCTTTAATATATTTTGAAATAGTGGGTGCTCGCCACTTCTTCTATGTGGAAAAATTGTTTCTTATACAAAATTCTAGTCCCCTTTCCACCCTTTTAAAGGAAGATTTCCGGGATAAAAATTATCCTATGTTCTTTCCAGGGACACAAACTATCTACATAATTTCATCGAAATCGGTTCAGCGGATTAAGCGTGAAGAGGTAACAGACAGTGTCTGTCTGTTATTTAACTTTTGCATTTAGGTATAGATTCACTACCTTATTATTAGGTACAGCATTCAACATGAACCGTGTTCAATTTGACATCAAATGTCACATTATCAAACATATTAAAAATCTCATTGATCTAAACAGACAAGATATTTTTGCTTTACGGAACAACTTTTGTGCGGAATTTAGAGTTAGAATAACTAAATACAAAAAAAACGTACTATACCTACCATATACATACAACAGTAACAGAACAGGTATACACATAAATTCTTGACAACAACTCCCAATCACCTAAAAAAAATGTCCGAACAGTCGGCATTGTATAATACAATGTAAACAGATAACATTGGCATACTTGTTCAAATATAAACATTATGTCCGGGCAGTAATGTTCAATGTCAATTGTATGCGATCGTTGGAGTCAGCGACGGCACTACGTCACGCGCTGCAAACCGGCTAAAGACGGCAGTGGAGTAAGTAGCCATTTGAAAAATAAACAATTGATTAAATATTTCGTTTTAACATTTATTATTTTAATATTCGGTTGGCCTTGAAATAACTTTTACTTATTATACAGTTCCTGTTTACTTTGCGTTTTTTTTTCTGGAAATCTAATCATTAAGTTATAATAAACTACTGTTTTAATTCAAATAATTCTAATTAGACTTTGTGGTAAATGTTGAATAACACTTGCTAAAATGCTGAAACATTTACAAATAATATCCCGTACATTTAGTACGGCATAGCAAGCATATTTTAGTAATAATTTAACTTTGAAGTATAATGTTGATGAATTATGATTATGTATCTTTTTAGTAAGTTATTTAAGATATACTCTGGGCCTGCCGTTTGGACAGTCTTAGCAATAATGTTGATCAAAAAAAAGATAAACAAGTTATGAAAAAATAGGCCAATGGAATTTTGAAGGATTCTTTAATAGTATTAACATAATAACATATACCTACATGGCTGGTCATAACTTTGCATTCATGGTTACAAGGCCTTCATATCGTTTTACACAATATATTTTTGTTAACTTATTGATATTTCATCAGAAACTAGAACACAACTTATTTACTTATCTGGTTTATTGGCTTAATGTCAATAAGTCTATCGAAAGATTCTGCTATACAACTATGTTGTACATTTCAATGTCTGTGCCAGTTGCAAAATGTGTTTGAATAAGACAAACATTGTAGACAAACGTTGTAGGCAGCAGGGGAGTTAATGTAAGACACCTACTTTAAAAAGGTCTTTTTCTTTCCTTTTTTTATAAACGTAGACAGCCTTCTTCAAATCTATGTTTTTCTTAGCGAGTCTTTTAATCTGCTTTTGCAGTCTGTCAATTTGTCTGTTTTTGTTTTTAATCATTTCTTCATACTTGTTAAGTTTTTTCTTCAAAACAACTTCCATAGGAGTGTCTAAAATGGATCCAATACTCAAGGAACTTGAAGGAGTTTGTTGCATTTCTTCTGAGTTATCGTACTAAAACAATATAAAATATGTAATTAATATATTTTTAATAGGTCAAAAGTATCATTTAATAATACTTACATCATGTGCCTGTTGTGTACTTGATTCACTATACGAAAAAATATCTTGAGCATTATATGTCACAACCTACAAAAATATAACAATAATATTATAATTCTGCGATCTACAAATGAAAAACCGTAAGCTGTATTTATATTTAACTTACATAAGACGATTCGTTGCTTTCTTCCTCTATTTTGACTGAATTCTGGCATATGTTATGATCTTTACTTCTATTATTTTCTATTAGCTGTAAGTGATCAGGAAAATACACAGTTAATTTGTATATATCTAAAAGTTTGTTTAAATAACAGTATCAATACTTTAAAGAACAATTAATCTGCGTTTTTAACTGTGATGCACAGTTGATTTTATACTTCTGAGTAGTCGTTTCTAAACTTTATGCGGCGAATATATGTTTGATTGAGGAAAATATTGGTATATACGATGATCCCTTTTAAATATAATAAATAAGAAAAAAACTTTGCCCATCGTAAGCTACATGACTTACATAAGATGATTCGATGCTTTCTTCCTCTATTTTTACTGATTTCTGGCACATGCTATGATCATTACTTCCATTATTTCGTATTAGCTGTAAGTACTAAAAAGTAATATACAATTAATTTGTATAAATCTAAAAGTTTGTTTTAGTAACAGTATTAATACATTAAAGAACAATTAACTCACACGCAAAGTTGATTTTGCAGAAATTGCACTTGACACACTGACAAGTCGTTTGTGACCTTTATCTGTTGTATATATGTCTGATTGAGAAAAAATATCGGAACATGCGACACTCCTTTTAAATATAATCAATAAAAAAAATAACGTAAGCTGTATTTATCTTTAACTTACATAAGATGATTCTTTGCTTTCTTCCTCTACTTTCACTGGTTTCTGGCAGATGTTATGATGATTACTTTCATTATTTTCAATCAGCTGTATGTAAAATTAGGAAAATACACAGTTAATTTGTATATATCGGAAAGTTTCTTTACGTAACAGTATCAAATATATAATAAATATAAGTTATTAATTTGTAATTGAGGTTATATGTCTAATTGAGGATTATAATTGGAATATACAACAGTCCTTTAAAATATAATTTAAAAAAATTGCCCATTTTAATCTGTATTTCTTTTTAACTTACGTAAGATAATTCGTTGCTTTCCTCCTCTATTTTGACTAGTTTTTGGCAAGTTGTTTGTGACCTTTATCTATTGTATATATGTCTGATTGAGAAAAATTATCGGAACATGCGACAGTCCTTTTAAATATAATCAATAAAAAAAATAACGTAAGCTGTATTTATCTTTAACTTACATAAGATGATTCGTTGCTTTCTTCCTCTATTTTCACTGGTTTCTGGCAGATGTTATGATGATTACTTTCATTATTTTCCACCAACTGTATGTAAAATCAGGAAAATACACAGTTAATTTGTATATATCTGAAAGTTTATTTACGTAACAGTATCAGATATAATGAAGAACAATAAATCTACATTTGTAATTCACATTTAAAGTTTGGTTTGCACTTATAACAAGTCGTTTGTAAACTTTTTCTGAGCTAAATCATATGTCTTATTGAGGATTATAATTGGAATATACAACGGTCCTTTAAAATATAATTTTAAAAAATTGCCCAACTTAAGCTGTATTTCTTTTTAACTTACGTAAGATAATTCGTTGCTTTCTGCCTCTATTTTGACTAGTTTTTGGCAAGTTGTTTGTGACCTTTATCTGTTATATATATGTCTGATTGAGAAAAATTATCGGAACATGCGACAGTCCTTTTAAATATAATCAATAAAAAAAATAACGTAAGCTGTATTTATCTTTAACTTACATAAGATGATTCGTTGCTTTCTTCCTCTATTTTCACTGGTTTCTGGCAGATGTTATGATAATTACTTTCATTATTTTCTACCAACTGTATGTAAAATCAGGAAAATACACAGTTAATTTGTATATATCTGAAAGTTTCTTTACGTAACAGTATTAAATATAATGAAGAACAATAAATCTACATTTGTAATTCACACGTAAAGTTGATTTTGCACTTATAACAAGTCATTTGTAAACTTTTTCTGCGTTACATCATATTATGTCTAATTGAGGATAATAATTGGAATATACAACGGTCCTTTAAAATATAATTTAAAAAAATTGCCCAACTTAAGACGTATTTCTTTTTAACTTACGTAAGATAATTCGTTGCTTTCTTCCTCTAATTTGACTAGTTTTTGGCATATGTTATTATCATTACTTCCATTATTTTCCATCAGCTGTAAGTAATTAGGAAATTACACAGTCAATTTGTACATAAATGAATAAATATTTCCAGCACCCACACCAATTAGCTTAGCTGCAAAGTCAGCACTGTAAGACTTGTGTTATGGGTTACTAGGGTAACGCATAAAATATATATACTGTACATATATAAGTATATTTATATAGAAATACATATTAAACATCCATAACTGGAGTACAAATGCTCGTATTTATCACTCAAACATCTGTTCCCACCGGGATTCGAATCCGGAACCTCTCGAGTCAGCTGCACCATGAAACCCGGCGTACAAACGACTCGGGCGTGGAGGTAGTCGTCAAATTTCTAAAAGTTTGTTTTAATAATAGTATCAATATAATAAAGAAAAATAAATCTACATTTTAACTTACACTCAAAGTTGGTTTTGCACATCTGATTAGACGTTTGTAACCTTTATCGGTTGTATATATGTCTAAATGAGAAAAATGATCCGAACACACAACGGTCCTTTTACTTGGCTTGTAATTTTTATCACCTCGCCCTTTTGCTATAATTGCTGCCCATTCAGCAAATCTTATAGGGTCCCGCGGAAAACTAAAGGAAAAAAATAACATTCATTTTAATTTATTCCAGTTCAGAAATTTATATAATTCAGTATGTTTTATATTCGTTTATAGCGTCTTTTTATTGTTCTTTTTTTAATAAAAAGGTTGGCCAATAACCATTTCCCTGACTGTATTTCCTACCCCTTGGAACTTTGGAATTTACTCACTGATGGAAACTCACTCCCTCAAAAGGCAGTTATTTCACTATGGTCTTTTCTAAGGAGGAGGTTATTTTCCCAAGCAGGTGCTCCAATTCAAGCAGAAAGCCCTGCCTCTATTTTAAAGATGTTAAACTTGGATAGTTTATTTATTTATTCTTTATTTATTTATTCTTTATAGTTACATTGGCAATGTTTTAGTTTCACATTGAATAACACTATATTCGCAGGCATAGAAAATATGTTAATACTATATTTTTACACTAATAAATGATTCACACAACAATTTCCAAATAAATGAATGTAAAAACAATGTTGTATAAATAAATTATTTACGAAACGCGAAAAAATATAGCTTATATTTTTCTCGTTCACAGGAATAATATCAATTCGTAATAGTAAAAGAATTGTTGAAATTGTGTCAGTAGTTTTCGACATTATTCGTTATAAATATACAAATATCCTGTTTATAACAAGAAGATAAGTAGATACAAAAAATTAAAATGGAAAATTCAACTCCATGACTTCCTTGTTCCGTCCCACCGAAGTGGAAGCTAAAGTTTACTGTCTATCTCTTTTCATGCCATGTCAATCGTATACGAAAGAAAAAGAGAGTTTGATTACAGTGCGAAAGAGACATATAATACACGAACACGTGACGTGCGCGCGCACTGAGTGAGCACTTGTTCATTGTAGCAATTGAAATGTTATTAATTGGGAATATAATATGAAAGGTCCAGATAGTTGCGAAAATTTTAGAACAAACACTTACTTGAAATATGACACTCCATCCTTTTTAAGTGAGGATCTGCTGTCATTTGCACAGCTTTTAACCGAACACTTTGTCATCGGGTGGTGGCGTTGTAATCTAAACGCGAACTAAACACGACTGAATAATAAATACTGCACAGTACGCGTGTGCATGCTGAGTTTTTGCGTCCGACATTTTATGAGCGTAATTGGAGAAAGTATTTTTTGTCTATTCTAATTACGTGAATGCTTTTTACTGATGGGTGTATTTGTTAAAACATTATTAGAAAATACAGGGATTGTAGATATCGCAAACTTGATAAAAAAGTTTATTTAAAGATAACAAATTTAATTATGTCAAATAAGTTGTACTTACTTTGTTATAGTTACAAAAAAAACTGTATTCACCCCTCAAGGATCGATGCTAACTTCGGTAATAAATGTTAAGATTTTATTGTGTTTTTTTTATAGGTATAATGTCAGATTAATGTTTATAATTTATAGATAAAAATGATAATGATGATTTGAGATTTTTGATTCCGAGTATTAAAAATCATTTTAATACTCGGAATCAAAAATCTCAAATCATAGAGAAAATTTGAGTTTTGGAGCGAGCAACGTGTCGTGTTTTAGCTTTAGCTGTATTACAAGGCTTATATAATGTATAAAATAAATATTTCTATACAGTATTTTCTTAATAATAACTGATAAGAACAGTTTTTTATCGACAATTCCCGTTATGTAAATATCACAAGTGCCGTTTTATGGCCGATAATAAAATAACGAAACATTTATGCTTAGGAAAGCAGAGATAAGTTTGTTATTTAATTCATTAGCTTTCTATAAATATAATTGTTATCGTCTTAAGTAAAATAATATGGGCACAGAAACAAAAAACAATTCAAAATGCGCACACACTTAGCGCGGGCGCTACATATGAAAAAAACCTAGTAGTCGCGGTCTGTGCCGTGGAACGCGTTTTGCGGTGCGTTCCCTCAATCGACGTGATTTTGAGGTGGCGATAGACAGCACCACAAGTGTTGAAAATTGGTACTAAAAGCTACCTGTAGGAACTGACGCGGTGACATTACAGCTGCACTTTGACCGTAATATAAAGTCGTCAAAGTCACAATTTATTTATTCAAATTGGAAGCATAATTACAACTCTTTTACCCCCTTATTAAAAAACGAACAATAAATTTGGATTAGTCACTTCATGTTTTGTCTCTGTTCGTTGAATGACAAACGGTACATAAGTGATTTAAAGAAAACACAGCGTAACTAGTCTAAGCCTATTTTATTAATAAGGGGGATATATTTTAGTCTCTGATTTATTTCTACATCACAACAGTTTTTTAAAACTACTTGAATTAAAAATCCATACACTCTCTAAGCATGCAGATATATATCAGCGCCATCTATCACCACTGCTAATAGTTATTTTATCTATGAAATCACATTTCCATTCAGCAGCTTTAAATTGTAATAACTTTTGAAAGAGTACATCGATATAGATGAAATAAAGATTAAAATAATTGAAACTTTCGCTAGTGTTTGGTAATAGCCGCAGTGGTTTTTCTTGCACGGAAATCGATGATCTTACAAATGAGCATTGGTTTTTTCTGGAGGTCGAACATAGCAGATACCTCATTTTTGGCGGCCCTTCTCATGCTGCTACCACTGACTAGTCTTAGAGGCTTGCAGCACTACATTTTCGTGCAGTCCTATCTCTCCCCTATATCGAGGAACAAACTAAACCTAAGAGTCTCATCATACCAGAAACCATATTAATTGGTTTTAAAATTTTAGTTTTTCATAGCGCCGCCAGGTTTTTTGCTTTGCAGCATCTTTATTTCGCGTTCTGTTAATGACGTCTCTAATTATATACATGTCATCTGGGAGTCTTATCATACCTACAAGGTTCAGTGTGATGGGCTCTTAGGCCGTACCGTACTATAGAAGCAGCAATTAAACTCGAATCACGCAAAACTAGTTTTAAGTGTAGATCACTACTCGATTGCTAAGCATATTAAAGGTTGCGTTTTAAGAGCAAATCAGCTGAAACTAGAATCAAAATTCTTTTGAACTCCGATCAAATTTGTTTATGGGCTAATAGTTATTTGTTCAACTAGAGAGGAAAGTTGGTTTTCCAAGCGAGTGCTAATTTTGAATACCGAGTAAGCGAAGGATTCTAATAATTGAATCACGAGCGTCAGCGAGTGATTCTACATCAGAATCCTGAGCGTCGCGAGGGATTCTAAGGTACGAGATGGAAATAACTTTTCTCTCGCGTGACAAATACAACTTTTCACCTTAGCAGCGAGAACATTATTAGAGATAAAAAGATACAATATGAATAAAAATGAAACCACATATATTTGCAAACAATAAGTATCTATTAAAATTTAAAATTGCAGTTATTAAAAGTTATATTTTGAAATTTTATAGTTTTATTAGGAAGTGATACCGTGGTGTTTGCGATTTGAGTTTGACTCGAGTCCGTTTCTATTTCTTTATTGGACTGTGACGAGACAATACTATTAGTAAACGTTGGCGACTCGGTGCGGCTTCTTACCGAATTTTCAATGATATTTGTGTTTGGAAGTAGAGGGGCGCGGGTGTGCATAAGGATCAGGTTTAAAGTTTATGCTTTGTATTATGCGTTAACAGGTTTTAGACTTATTTTCGATCGAATCTTCAATATATCCTTCCGCGACCATGTTTGACTTCCAGCCGCCATGACGTTTTAATGTTGTGAGGTTGGCTTCTGAATCAGCTAAAAGCGTGGCCGAAGTTCGCCTAAAGCAATGTCCAGTGTAAAGTTGAGGCTATTGTAATTTTAAAAAAGTGACAATTTGTTGTGGTGTCCCGCCTATTTTATTAATTCCCATAGGCTGTCTTGAACACTTGTCATTACGATACTGCAAGAAAAATCGATCTGTTTTCGTATTATCAGGTCGTAATGCCTTATATTTCTCGACAATTTTCAAATATTCGTCGCGAATAACAAAGAACCTGTCAATGTTTGTTTTTGTGTTGGGTAGGTTGACTAATAGCAGTTCGTCAGAATGGTTTTCGATGGCATTAACAGTCAAATTTAACAGTTCGTTCGAGCGGCATGCTCCATTTATTCCAATAATGAGGATAACCTGTAATAACAATATTATATAAGTAAAATGTTAGTAATTAAAATGTATGACAAACAAAACGTAGTATTTACCCACTTTCTTTACATAAGTAACTCGTATTTTAGTAAATATTAGAGAAAATTGTTAGCGTACGTGCACATATATTACTAATTAAGTATAGACATATAGGTAGTAACTTACTTTTGCAGCAAGAAAATTGCAGTCCGGAGCTTCATTAGGAATTTTTCAATATTGAGAGTAAAAAATTTGGACTTTTTAGATTTGTGTCCTACTGACTTTCTTTTCAAAAATGCAATAAGTTTGGGATAAGTTTCAATATGAACATTATGTTTTGTCTTTAATGTAGCTTTCAACATCGAATAAATACTCCACATTGTAGGTGATTGCTTCGTTTGTGATAATTCTATGAAGTACGACAATAATACATTCTCCGAGAAAGTGTTCGCGCCCTTTTCATCATAGGATTTCAGATATCTATCACATGATTTCTGAGGAAGAAAACTGAATTCAGCATTCAACACTTGTTGTTTTAATTCTTCAGGTGTTAAATTGCTGTTTTCGTAACTAGACTCACTCATATTTTATGAATTTGTGATATGCAACACTAATTGTAAGTAGTTACTTACCGAAAAACAAAAGAAGAAGAAATAATATTGATTTTTGTTTCCCGCTATTTTTAAAGTTACGTTCTGAAACTTCACCCGTAGTATTCTGTTGTACCAATAAAGATTTTTAAAACTATAAATTATTTATGCATAACTACTTCGTATTTTTTCTAAAACATTTTCTTTATTTTTTTCTTTATATCAGTGTATTCATTATATTTAATTATTTAATTAGATATTTAATTACAACGTTACCAAATAATTTTCATTTTAAAGGTTTATTAGTTTCCGAACGTTTTATTGTTTGGGTGTTCTGAAATTTGATAAATCGAACTTCGAATGACGTGTTTCGTACATAATGATAATTCGCAGCATTCTAAATTCAAATCACTTTCCCTCACTCTCGCAGGGAAAACGCGTTTTCCTCACTCTTATTAAGCAGGGAACCCAGTATGTTTGAGCTGCTAAGGAGAAAATATGTTTTCAATTGAGGAGCACCTGTTCGAAAGGGGCTATTTCCATGCTAAGTAAATGTTTATAAAATTAAAAAAACGTATGCAGATTTGATGATGTATGTGAAGTGTATTTTTTTTATTCAAGTAATTCATGAGTGGGCCACTTATTTTTAGGGTAAATTTATTTATTATTATTCAAAAGCACAAAATTCAGTAATTAAAAATGGAAATAGCACGTTTTGGTGGATATTCGGAAAATAGCATCTTTTGATCAGGAATGATAATAAATAGCATCAAGAAATAAACTTTTAGAAAAGTTTATTTTTAATTGGAAGCTTTATTTATGCCAAAATATTTAAAACAACTTGGCATTGATTAATTGTCATTAATTTTTAAGATGTTTTTTTTTAAATACAAAAGTTTGATAAAAAAATATTATGTGTCGAACTACAACTTTTAAGTGAGCTAAAAATAGCACCGTTTGAATAAACCGCGAATTTAAGTTTAAATTTGAAGGGGAAATAATCATTATCGATTAAGACTTCACACAGGCTGTGATAGGATCTTAGAATACCAGTAGAATTCACGAAAAAAACTATAAATCAGTAAATACGGAAATAGTCCCCTTTGAACAGATGCTCCTCAATTACAACTTTATTTGGAACTATAATATGTATTCTCTTCTTAAGAATGGTGTCGACCATGTTTTTTTAAGTTTTAGATGTAAATGTCCTTCTGAAACAATTAATTACTCAGCTGAGTTTTGATCAATTTTTATGTTTCAAAAAACGTTCTATAATAAAATCTCGTTTTGAAACTACTTTTAAAACTAGATTTCTTACTGAGAAATGTTCTATAATACGGGCCTTAGACTAATAGGACCCACCCAAGTTTGAGTTTAAGCTCGTGTGTCTCGAATATAATAA